CAACTCGTCCCAGGGGCAGGGGGTGGGAGTGAACAGCCACAGGTGTGATCCTGGAGGGCTTCTGGGAGAGAATTTAGAGGCAAGCACTTTAGTAAATGCATCATTTCATTTCAAATGGTTAAGAAAAGCCAGAGCCAAACAGGGACGGCTGGCTCCCAAAGATGATGCAGGCAAAGCCGCTCAAATCTGAGCACGGGAAAGACTGCTCCAACCAAGGGCCCAGCATCTCCCAAGCACCGGGTACCTCCCAAACCAAGCACAAGCACCTCCTAATCTAATACCTCCCAACCCAAGCACCTAGCACTCTCAACTGAGCATCATGCACCTCCCAAAAGAGCACCTAGCACCTCCCAACTGAGCACCTCCCAACCAACTCAACAACTCCCAACCAAGTGTCAAGCACCTCCCAACCAAGTGCCAATTACCTTCCAACCGAGCACCTAGCACCCCAACTTGAGCATCATGCACCTCCCAAAAGAGCACCTAGCACCTCCCAACTGAGCACCTCCCAACCTAGCACTGAGCACTCTAACCAACATGGCAAAAGCCATAAGGAAGTAAAAAGAGAAAACCATTCAGGCATGGAGACTAGACTTCTGGTGTTGAGGAAAGGGCATTTACTATAAACTACACTCCAATACTTGTTGAACTCATAAAACTGTTCTTGGTGTTTTCCACATGACGTACAGACAGGGATACTGAGGCACAGAGGCGGTGCACCGTGCCATCCTTGTCTCATCTTTTTTTTTTTTTTTTTTTGAGATGAGTCTCACTCTGTCGCCCAGGCTGGAGTGCAGTGGCCGGACCTCGGCTCACTGCAAGCTCCGCCTCCCGGGTTTACGCCATTCTCTGCCTCAGCCTCCCGAGTAGCTGGGACTACAGGCGCCGCCACCTCTTGCCTGGCTAGTTTTTAGTAGAGACGGGGTTTCACCGCAGCCAGGATGGTCTCGATCTCCTGACCCCGTGATCCGCCTGTCTTGGCCTCCCAAAGTGCTGGGATTACAGGCTTGGCCTCACTGCGCCTGCCTCTTGTCTCATCTTCTAATGAACCCACATGCAGAGTGCCAGCAAATCTAGTTGTCTTTCTCTTCAGAACAGATCCCGAATCTCACCACCTACCCCGACAAGTGAGGTGTCCCCACTGCTGCTTTCGTCGCTGTGATCCCGGTAATAACTGGGTGGACAGGGCTCCTGTCCCCACGCCACCCACACCACAGCTCGCTCTGGCTCCAGCCACCAGGGGATACCTCTCCCAGCACGAGTCAGACCTGCACCTCCTCTGCTCGACCATGTGTCTCTCACACCCCGGCCCTGTTCCCCTACATTCTGCTATAGCCCCCAACAGGTCTCACCCAAACCAGCCCAGGGTTTGCACTGGCTGATTCCTCTGCCTGGATGGCGCGTCCCAGAGCAGCCAGATGGCTGCTTCCAGTCTCGCTCGCAAGTCACCAAAGCCCAGCACCTGAGCTCTGAGAGAAGCCCCTCGCCACAGCACCCGGCAGGGCTTTTGTATCCTCCACACACATCCTCTCAAATACTATCTACTTTACCGTCTCCTCCCATCCACTGAAAGGGCTGTGAGACGGGCTATACCTGCTGCATGGGAGCAGAACCAGTGCACAAGTGGGTTCACAAATGTGGGTGGATGCCTGTTGGGAGGTAGGAGCTGCAGCGACCTACGCTGGGAGGGAACACAAGGATGGGAGGAGCATTGTCCTAGCGACGATGGCCGCGGCAGCCGCTGGTGAGCAACTCCGCAGGCCGGCTCCCGGAGAGGGCTTCCCCAGCAGGCTGCCATCTTTGGCCTTCTCCCACCACTGCCGATGCCCTCCAAGCCAGAGACTGCTACACCAGCTAACCCTTCAAAAAGAAGGTCAGTAACCCCCACAGCCTCTGGGGCCACAGTGCAGGGGGAGAGGCTGAGAGGGCGACAGTTCAGCAGGCGCACAGAGGCCGCCTGGAAGTCAGCTGGCTCCCTGGGCAGTTGCAGGTGGCCAGCCCACCGAGGGCAGCGAGGTACAAGAGGGGCCCAGGATAAGTGGTTGCCCAGCACAGCACCCTGGGAGGCTAGGGGCACTTCTCAGGTGGTGGGGCACGAGGCTGCTCTGGCCTGACTCAGGACTCAAAATACTTTGGCCATAAATTCCACCGCTGGTCCCACCCCTGCTGGTATCCCGTACTTACACACAGACTGGTTCAGATGCAGACACTCTCGCGCACATACTCGCTCACACAGGCACATACACGTGCATGCATACTCACGCGCATGCACTCACACGCACAAGTAAATACCTGCCACACACATGTGCACACGCACGCACACAGGCTCACACGTATGCACGCACATGTGTGTGTGCGCACACACACATACACACACACACAGGCTCACATCCTCCCACTCCCACACCAGCTGCTCAGACACACACCTGGCTCACAAACCTGCTGGGCTCTGAAAGGCTCCAGGCTCCCTTCCTGGTACTTATCAGAAGCCAGACAATGGCTTCAAGTCACCCGCACAGAGCAAAGAGGTGAACCTGGCCAACATGGCACCTCTGTTTCCCAGCTCCCAAACCCCAGCCTTGGTGAGGACACTCCTATTCCCACTACCCGGGCAGGCCCAGGAGGAAGGCATCCGCAGGGTCGGCATCTGCAGGGTATGGCAACCAGCCCTCCCCGCCCGGCTCCTGCAGCCAGCGCCATGGGGAGCCAGGGGAGGCTCACTGCAAAGGGCAACAAAGTGTTGGTGGCCCTGAGACTAGAGCCTGTGGGTCTCTCGGTCCTACTCCAGAGCTGGACACTGTCCCACAGGCACAGAAAAGGGAGTGTGGGCTCCCGAGCCCTGACTTCAGTGAGAGGGCGGGCGGGCCCTTATACACTGACGTGCGGCGTCTGTGTCCTGGGACTTTCTAATCTAGAAGATCTAGGTCAGGCCGGGCGCAGGGCTTCACACTCTGCAATCCCAGTACTTTGGGAGGCTGAGGTCGGTGGATCACTTGAGATTAGAGTTTGAAATCAGCCTGGTGAAACCCTGTCTCTACTAAAAATACAAAAACTAGCCAGGTGGTAGTGCATGTCTGTGGCCAACAGCTATTCAGGAGGCTGAGTGGGAGGAGACCGCTTTGAACCTGGGAGGGAGGTTGCAGTGAGCCGAGATCGCGCCATTACGCAAAGAAGATCTAGCCAGTCCTCATCCGGTGAGGTTCAGGCTGGCAGTGCTGAGAGACTGTGGTGACACTGTATGAACTAACAGGCAAAGGGCTTCTAACTGAGCCTGGAGGGGGAAAAGGCTCTGTGTTCTGAAGCCAGAGACTCTGCCAGCTGCCCTGGACACGAACTCAGCACAACCCGACAGGTCAGCAAGGGCCAGGGCTCAGCACAGTAAGGGTGTGTGTACAGCCCCCAGAGTCACTCCCAGGCTGCAAGAGGAGGGACAAAGGAGGGACAAACAGGCTGTCCAAGCACCCTGTTCCCTCTCTGCTCGGGAGTCTGTGACCTGGCCTAGCTGGCCACTGAGCTAGCCACCTCCCCAAACTCTCCACCCCGGACTTCGACTCCAAGGAGGTTCTTCACTTTCCTGCCACCCACCGTCTCCCCACCTGGGATCATGGCCAGGCCCTGAGCCTTCAAGGGCCCAGGTGAACTCAGCCAGACGAGGAGCTGAGGAGGACACAAGGCAGCTCTCAGAACAGACTCCAAGAACCACTCCCAGCAGGTTCTGCTTCCAGATGAGGAGCTGCACTTTTTCAGCCAATGCAGTTAGAAAGCCAGAGAAGGGGCGCAATTCCACCTGCCTGAGGCATCTGCACTTCCAGGCCACCCACCATACACACAGCAAAGATGTGTTTAACTATCCAGACTCCACAGCCAACCCCATCAGACATGTAAGTTTTAAAAAGGAACGAATTCAAGGAGCTGTATGGTGGCTCACGCCTGTAATCCCAGCACTTTGGGAGGCCAAGGTGGGTGGACTACCTGAGGTCAGGAGTTCGAGACCAGCCTGGCCACCCTGGTGAAACCCCATCTCTACCAAAAATACAAAAATTAGCTGGGCATGGTGGTGGGCGCCTGTAATCCCAGCTACTTGGGAGGCTGAGGCAGGAGAATCACTTGAACCCGGGAGGCGGAGGTTGCAGTGAGCCGAAGACTTCAAGTGTCACTGCACACCAAAGCCTGGGCAACAAGAGCAAGACTCCATCTCACGAAAAAAAAAAAAAAAAAAAGGCCGGGCGCAGTACCACGCCTGTAATCCCAGCACTTTGGGAGGCTGAGGCAGATCATGAGGTCAGGAGATCGAGAGCATCCTGGCTAACACGGTGAAACCCCGTCTCTACTAAAAATACAAAAATTAGCCGGGCACAGGTGGGCACCTGTAGTCCCAGCGAGGAGGCTGAGGCAGGAGACGGCGTGAACCTGGGGAGATCGGAGCTGCAGTGAAGCCGAGATCACACCACTGCACTCCAACAAGGTGACAGAGCGAGATTCTGTCTCACAGCACAAAAAAGAAACATAATTCATGGAATCTCAAGGGGAAGTAATTCTCTCAACCATAATAAATCCTGAATGTTGAGTTCTTTTTCTTTTTTTTTTTTTTTTTGAGACAGGGTCTCCTTTGTCGCCTAGGCTGGAGTGCAGTGGTGGGATCACAGTTCACTGTAGCCTCGATCTCCCAGGCTCAAATGATCCTCCTACCTCAGCCTCCCAAGGAGTTGGGATTACAGGTGCACACTATCACACCCGATTAATTCCTTTTTTTTTTTTTTTAAGAAATGGGGTCTCACCATGTTGCCCAGTCTGGTCTTGAACTCCTGGACTCAAGTGATCTATCCGCCTTGGCCTGCCAGAGTGCTGGGATTACAGGCATGAGCCAAAGCACCCCCCATGAACTCATTTTAAGATTCACATCTTTTTTCTGAAAAATAACTTGGGCTCACGTAAATTCGAGAGAGAAATGGTGACGCTCCCCGCCCCCTGGACCCAGGCAGAGTCGCAGCAGGGTTTACCCGTGAGCGGGATCCAAGGCGATGGCCCTCGGCTGGTCAAGGTCCTGCCAGAAGAGGACCTTCCGGGATGTGCCATTGAGGTTGGCCACCTCGATACGGTTGGTCTCTGAGTCCGTCCAGTACAGCTTCTCGCCCACCCAGTCGCAGGCAAGGCCGTCGGGCGAGACCAGGCCGGAGATGACCACATTCTGCACGGCGGCCCCCGTCTGGTTCAGGTAGGTCTGCTTGATGGCCTCCTCGCTCACATCTGTCCAGTACACGGCTCCCTTGGAGAACTGGAAGTCCACTGCGGCCGCATCTTCCAGGCCACTGACCACAATGGTGGACTCCAGCTTGACTCCGCCAGCGTCCACCAGCCGTACGTCCCGGCGGTTGGCAAATAGCAGGAGGGGCGAGGCTGTGGGGCAGAAGCAAACCGTGAGGGCCACTGGCTAAGCCAGCAGGACACACAGCCCGGGAATGCAGCACTATGCCCAGAGCACTCCTGGCACTGCCCCCCTCATGCCCAAGACCTCCAGTTCCTTCCTCCCACCCCCAAGGCGCTCTCAGGAAGTTGCCTGGGCGGCCCCGGCCCACACCATTCAGAGGCTCCTGCAGCACAGCAAACAGCCTTCTTACTGCACTCAGTGACAGCAACTGGTTTTTTTGTTTTTTTTTTTTGAGACGGAGTCTTGCTCTGTCACCCAGGCTGGAGTGCAGTGGCGCGATCTTTGCTCACTGCAAGCTCTGCCTCCCGGGTTTACGCCATTCTCCTGCCTCAGCCTCCCGAGTAGCTGGGACTACAGGCACCCACCACCACGCCCGGCTAATTTTTTGTATTTTTAGTAGAGACGCGTTTTCACTGCGTTAGCCAGGATGGTCTCGATCTCCTGACCTCGTGATCTGCCCGCCTCGGCCTCCCAAAGTACTGGGATTACAGGCGTGAGCCACTGTACCCGGCCTAGCAACTGTTTGTTTACCAACTGCTACGTCTGTTCCCCCAGGTACGGGTGACCCTTCCTGCCACATCCACCACCTCCCACATCGTCCTCCAGAGGCTGCAGGGGCCCTGTCCTGTTCTACAGAGAAGCCACATCCCCTTTTTTGGCCTGACACAGGGGATGGGGACATGAAGGAACAGCCCTGGCCATGCTGCCTGCTACAGACCCAGCCACAGGGCCACACTTTTTGAGGGGTTCAAAGCCCAGGCCAGACAGAGCCTCCAGATTCCCTTACAAGTCTTTGACCACTGTCCAAGCTCGGGCCCCTTTCCTTGGCCTGTGGCCTCCGCTTCCCATCCACCCCTGTATTCCACATTTCTCCCACCCTGTTTCTATACATTCCTACAATGAACACATTTAAAGAGTCACTCTGGAATGCCACCCCTTGGCTCAGACACCTTTCATAGCAACCTGTGCCAGTGCCATGCAGAACAAGGTCAGACTCCCTAACCTGGCCTCCAAGGCCTTCGCCCCTGGCCTCACCTACACTTCCCTCCACCAGCCCACCCCAAGCATTTCGATCTGCCTGCGGCTGGGCTGGCTCCGTCACCTCCCTCTGCACCCCAGCCCTCAGCCCCTTCTGCCTGTGCAAGAGGCCTCATCTCACAGCCAAGCGTCTCATTCCCACAATGGGCTGAATGAGAATCAGGAGAGGTCTTGAGACCATCACCCCACCAGACACCTCAGACGTCTGCCCAGGAGGGTCCAGCAACCCCCAACACAGACTCAGAGGGACTAAAAAGCCACATGAGGAGTGAACACAAGATGTGGACACGAGGAGGTAAGGGCCTCCAGGGAGCTCCATCAGTCCGTGTCTGCTACCAGCAGGGGTAGGCTGGCCACAAACACCCCCAAAAAACCTCTGAAGCCTTGGCTCAAAACAGCTGACATTCCTCATGAAAACTGCAGATCCCTGGGCCTTCCTGCACAGACGAGGGAGCCCGGCCAACCCCACACTCCCACCTTCATCAAGAAAGAGAAAGCCAAAACAAACTCAACTCAGGCAATGACAGTCACGGAACTGAATCCTGTAGCTAGTTCAGTTGGTTTCATTTCAGCAAGGGAAAGATTTGCAGCCTCTATGAGGGCACCTGGGAGCACAAAGGACCAGAGCATGGCCCAGGAGACCCCAGGGCAGTGTGATAGATAGTTCCAAGCACGGGCCCCCCTGCCAAGACAAGCACTGGCTCAAATCCTGGCCCCTCCTGTTCCCAGGGGACATTCTCCGATGGATGGGAGGACACACAGAGGACCTGAGGCCAGGAAAATGACAGCGGAGACTCCACCACCCCACCCATGCTGTCATCACCTTAGGTCTACAGTTCTTCGTGGCAATGAGGGACATGGTGAAAGCCAAACAACAGGAAGGCAAAGGCAACAAATAAAGACAAAGGGGACTTCATGGAAGTTAAAGATTCTGTGCATCAAAAGACACTGTCGAGAGAGTAAAAACGCAACCCATAGAATGAGAAAATATTTCCACATCATAGATCTACTAAGAGATTAATATCCTTGAAATACAGAGAACTCCTAAAACTCAACAATGAGAAAACAACCAACCCAACTCAAAAATGGGCAAACAACTTGAACAGACGTTTCTCCAAAGACGACATATAAATGGCTAATAAACACATCAAAACAGGCTTAACATACCCTTAATCACCAGGGAAATGCAAATCAACACTACAATAAGATACCGCCTTGCACCAATGAGGACAGCTACTATCCAAACACAAAACACCAAGCGCTGGTGAGGATGTGGAGCAACTGGAACCCTTGTGCGCCACTGGCAAACATGTAAAATGGTGCAGCTACTATGGAAAACAGCACAGCAGTTCCCCAAAAATTTAAACATAGAATTACCATAGGACCCAGCGATTCCGCTTCAGGGTATATACCCAAAAGAACTGAAAACAGGGACACGATCAGATATGCATACACCTTGGATCACGGCAGCATCCCTTCCAACAGCTAAAACATGGAGGCGGCCGGGCATGATGGCTCATGCCTGTAATCCCAGCACTTTGGGAGGCTGAGGAGGGTGGATCACCTGAGGTCAGGAGTTCGAGACCAGCCTGACCAACATGGTGAAACCCTGTCTCCAATAAAAATACAAAAATTAGCCGGGCATAGTGACAGGCACCTGTAATCCCAGCTAGTCACAAGTCCGAGGCAGGAGAATCACTTGAACCCGGGAGGCAGAGGTTGCAGTGAGCCAAGATTGTGCCACTGCATTCCAGCTGGGGCGCCACAGCGAGACGCTGTCTCAAAAAAAAAAAAAAAAAAAACAAACAACAACAAAACAAAACCAAACATGGAAGCAACCCACGTATCAACTGTGGGATGAATGAGGAGGCAAAATGTGCTCCATCCACACAATGGAGTATTATTCAGTCCTAAAAAGGAAAAAGATTCTGGCCCGGCGCAGTGGCTCACGCCTGTGATCCCAGCACTTTGGGAGGCCAAGGCGGGTGGATCACCTGAGGCCAGGAATTCAAGACCAGCCTGGCCAAGATGGTGAAACCCCGTCTCTACAAAAAATGCAGAAATTACCAGGCATGGTGGCGCACCTGTAGTCCCAGCTACTAAGGAGGCTGAGGCAGGAGAATTGCTTGGACCCGGGAGGCAGATTTTGCAGTGAACCAATATCGTGCCCTTGAACTCCAGCCTGGGTGACAGAGCGAGACTCTGTCTGAAAAAAAAAAAAAGGAGATTCTGACACACGCGACAGCATGGGTGGAACTTAAGAATGTTATGCTAAGTGAAATAAGCCAGATACAAAACACAAATACTTTGTGATTCAATTTATATGAGGTACTTATGGTAGGCAAATTCATCGAGACAGAAAGTAGAATGGTGGGACCAGGGACTGGGGGAGGAGGACTGGGGACCTGCTTAAGGGGGAAGGTTTCAGCTGGGAATTAAAGAGTTCTGGGCCGGGCGCGGTGGCTCACACCTGTAATCCCAGCACTCTGGGAGGCCAAGGCGGGCGGATCACTTAAGGCCAGGAGTTCGAGACCAGCCTGGCCAACACGGCGAAACCCTGCCTCTACTAAAAATACAAAAATTAGCCAGGCATGGTGGCTCACACCTGTAATCCCAGCTACTCAGGAGGCTGAGGCAGGAGAGTCACTTGAACCTGAGAGGCGGAGGTTGCGGTGAGCTGAGATCAGATCATCCCATTGCACTCCAGCCTGGGTGACAAAGCGAGACTCCATCTCAAAAAAAAAAAAAAAAGGAAAAAGAAAACAAAATTAAAAAATGGGATGTTATAACTGCAGCGGAACTGGACATTCTGACCCCTCACAAGAGGAGATGGCCACAGCTAAGGCATTTATCTTCAAATCTCACCCCCTCCCTTCCCCAAACAGGTCCAAACAGATAACGAAGAAAACTCAGGGTCAAAGGCAACAACTCTGCAGCTCACAGGCAGGGCCCCCAGGCCCCACCCCTGACTGGGCTACGGGCAACATCCCTCGGGCGGGGGAAGGCAGCTGCTCTGGAACACCAGCTGAGGGGTCTGTCTGCATTTCACCTGCGCCACCCAGCCTGCTGGCACCCCAACTCCAAGACACTGAGTTCCCTCCACTCGTGAGGTGAGGCTGCAAAGGAAGAGCCCAGGTCCCTGCCCCCAGGCCCTGGCACATTCTGGGGAGTGCAGCACCCGCTACCAGAGGTCTGGCCAACAGGTGCACCAAAGGATGAGATGCCAGCCTCAAGGGGGTCCGCAGGCACACAGGAATCACACCCAGGATTGCAAGCGCCTGGGGCCTTCAGAGACCGGAAGCAGCACTGAGGCCTGGGGGCAGGAGGGGCCTTCGCAGGGAAGACAGTTGTGTGTGAGACCCAGAGGGCACTGGTGGCACAAGCGGGTGGAACCATCACCAACAAGGGCACCCACAGCACACCCAGGCCAGGTGGCCCCCACACGGTGTGTTCCCACTCATCATCCTGGCCGCTGGAGCAGGGATGACTGAGATTCCCATTTTGTGAATGAGGTCAATTGTGCCCCGTGCCCTGGCTGCCCCTGTGGCAATGCCCCCAGCTTGTCCCCACTCACCAATGAAGGTGGATCCGCCCAGGCTGAAATTCCACGGTTCTTGGGGTTACAGGCCTTTTGAGAAACTGGTCCACCTCCTCAGACACACACACACCCAGACACACAAACACATACACACAGTGCTGTCGCCCAGGCCCCATTAAGTCCCCCTACCAGGGTGGACCCAGCTCCAGCCGGAGAGTCCCCTGCCAACACAAGCACAGAGTGGGACTAGACACGGAACTTTACTCTAAATCAGCTTCCTTGGACAACAATGACACAGACTGTCTGCGGAGGCGGCGAGCCCCCACCACCGCGGGTGTTCAAGTAGGTGGGGGACCAGGCCTGCCAGGCCTGTCCCTCCCCAGGCAGACACTG